CCCCCCCCCCCCCCCCCCCCGGGACACCGGCACGCACCCGGAGGACGATCCAAATACCAAAGAATGCCGCACGCGCCGCACAGCTTGCCCGGCTGCGAGAAGGGCGACGCGCCGTGCCCCTCGGCGCACTCGAACGCATTGTGCGTGTCGGTGTACCCGCCCAGCGGCCCGTCGCAGACGATGCTCCGGTCGGCGGCGCACCGCAAGGTCGCCATGTCGAAGAGCACCCGCCGGCCATCGAACACCAGCCAATCCCAGGGGCCGGCCTCCGAGGTGCGGAACCGGCCCATGGCATACATTTCCACATACAGGTCATACAGGACCACGCGCTGCCAAAGGAGCTCCCCGCCGGCCGGGCTGACGCTCACGCGCCACACATACGGCCGGTCGTAAAAATCCTCCCCGGGCGACCGGTAGAAGAAGAACCCGGCCGGCCGGTCCAGCGAGGCCGGCCCCACGGCCATCAGGGTGTTCTGCACCCAGAGCAGCCACTCCGGCACCTCGGCCTCCAGCTCCGGCCCGGGCTGGCTGCCCCCGTGGCAGGGCAGCACCCGCAGCCGGCCGTCGGCCGTGGCCACCACCACATCCGCATGGTCCGGGCACTGGGCCACCGTCGACACCAGCCGCGTGGTCACCATGCTGACGACGGTGTCCGACAGCGGCATGGTAGCCACCACGGCCGTGCCGTCCGCCGCCAGGGCGATGCTGTGCAGGACATCCTCCTCGGCCACATAGAAGTGCCCCCGGGTCCCGGTGGCCGTGAGCACCGGCAGGGCCACCGGCATGTCGACCGGCCGCACGGCCAGCCCGGCGGCCGTCAGCCGGCCGAGGAACAGCCGGCCCTGCTTCGGCTGCCCCGGCACGCCGGTCACCCCGAGCAGGTCCACCTCGTGCACCCCGGCGGCCAGCCCGCGCAGGATCTCCGTCCCCGGCCCCGGCAGCGGGTGCTCGGTCGCCGACTCGAACAGGGCCAGCCACTGGGCGGTGTGCTGCACCAGGGCCGGGGTCCGGGTCCCGGCCACCGGCAGCGCCAGGACCCGGCTCCCCGCGTCGGCCCCGCCCCCTCGCGGGCACACCACCGTCTCCCGGGGCACCGGCCCGAAGAAGGACCCGAGCCGGTACTCCGGCAGCACGTCCAGCGCATCGTGCTGGTCATACACCTCCACCACGGCCGGGTCGCCCTGCCGGACCAGCACCGACAGCTCCCCCGGCGCGGTGACCACCTGTATGGGGCCCTGGGCTCGCGTCATGGACGCCAGCGGCCGGTAGAGGTAGATGTCCGGCAGCCCCGAGGGCGGGGGCATTTGCGACCGGGCCGGCTCCGCCGCCAGCGCCAGCACCGCCGCCAGCAGGCCGGCCGCCAGGCCGACGGCGCGGCCGATGGCCGTGCCTCGGTGGCCGGGCGCACTGGGGCCCATGTGCACGGCGGGCGGGCGCCGGCAAGCGGCCGAAAGGCGCGGCCAAAGGGCCGAGGAGCGCTCGGGCATGCGCGCGGGCTCGCGGGGCCGATCGAAAGGGGGACCGTGTGCAATGCGTGCACACCGCGGTGACAAAGAGGGCGACGCGTCGCTCGAAGAGAGAGAGAGAGAGAGAGATGGGGTGTTGGAACTTTCGAAAGCGGTGTGTCTTCCAGATGGCCCGGGCTCTCGCTCCCCCCTCGGCCGGGGGACCCTTTAAAGGGCACGCCCAGCACCGCGCGCGCGCGCGCGCCGCCGACATAGCCACAACACACACATGCATGGCCGCCGAGGGCATGCTGTGTCCCGACGCCCCGCGGCCGAGGCCGGGTACCGGTCCCTCGCGCCCCGGGTACCGGTCGCTCACGTCCCGGGTACCGGTCCCTCGCCCCCCCGGCCCCCCGGCCGGGAACAGGCCCCTCGCCGCCGGCGCCTTCCCGGCCACCACCGGCGCCTGAAGGGGGCCCCCGCTCGGACAAATGGCCGACGCGGGCCGAGGGGTGGGCTGCTCTCGCCGGCCCCGGGCCATAATCTCGGCTCGTGTGTGGCCGGCAGCGCGCGCCTCGCCCGGTGGAGCCCGGTGAGCTGGGCCCAGCATCCCCGCCCGGGGGGTGGTGGGAGTGGAGGCGACCGCCGGCATGGGAGCACACACTTTTTTCCGATGGAGCCCCTCCATGCGCGCTGCGGGAGGATGCCCTCGTGCCGCGATACCCACCGGATGCGGTCCTCGCTCCGCGAGTGGCACCGCCGTGACCGCACCCTGACGCCCGGCCCCGCTCCAGCCGGCTCCGCCCCTTCGCGCCGGCTCGTACGCACCGACGCGCGGCTCCTTGCCGGCCCCTCCCCCCGGGGGGGGGGGGGGGGGGGGAGCCCGCCCGTGCACCGGCATGTCCGGCCGGCGGCCGGCGTCACCGGGGGCCCGATCGGTGAGCACCTTATCCGGCGGCCCGGGCGCGAGTTGGCGAATCGGCGGCCCTTCGCGTGACCAGATACCCCCGCATGGTGGCGACCCCCCGGCCCGGGCCGGCGTGTTGGCCGCCGGAAATGAGTCCCTCCAGGGGGGAGCCGGGCGCGCCGCCGATGGCGTGGCAATATATCCCCGAGACGGCGAGCGCCGGCCCGTCCCCGGCCCCCCCTGCACGCACCTCGCCGGGCATGATCACGGCCTGGGGCGCGCGCCAGGACGGCGCACGTGCCCCTCGGCGCCGGAGCCGGAACTCCAGAACTCCGGCACACATTCCCCCCCGGTGGTGGGGCTTTTCCCCGATCCGCCGCCGAAAATGCCAGCTGCTTGTTATTGTCTTTTCTCGCCACGCGCCCGTCATCGCGCCCGGGCGCCGCCGCCCGGAAAAGACCCTGCCCCCAGGGCGGTGAACTTCCCTGCCCTCGGCGGCCTCATCCGGGCCCGGCGCATCCCGCCGCCGAGAGACCAATCGAGCCCGGGCCCCGGAGCGCGCCCAGGTGGGGGGGGGGGGGGCGGCCGGACCAGCCTGCCCCGGGTGCCCGCGCACACCCCCCGGCGCCCGACCTGCCGCCCCACGAATGCCGATTACCGGCCAGCCCCCTGCGCGCTCGGGGGGCTGCCCCGGCCATGCAGCACCCCTCGCGGCGTGCTCCGCCCGGTGGCGGCCATTTTCCCCCCGGCACACGGGTTGTGAGCTGAGGAGCCGGCTTCGCGGGCTGGCCCCGCCGCCGGGCCGGGGCCACGCTCCTCGGCCGCCGCCGCCGCCGCCGCCGCCGCCGCGCGCCAGACGACTTTCGTCGGGTGCTCGATGGGTGATGATGGCTCACCCGGCTGCCCTGGCGGGGGGCCCCCCCCCCCCCCCCCTCCCGGGAGCGCCCATGCCTCCCAGTCAGACGGGTCTCCGGGCGCAGGGTGTCCCACATGTGCCGGGCCATCTGGCGCGGCTATGGGCGCGCGGTCGGCCACCGTTTTCCCGGCCGCGCGCCGTTGTTTACCTTCGCCCGGGCCACGGGGCCGCGCCGGCCGGGGCAGCGCGCCGGGTATCGTCGGGCACCGGCGCCCGGCCAACCACGCTCTTTCTCGGCCAGCCGGCGCACCGGGCGCCGGTGGCCATGCAGCACGCCCGGCGGCAGGTCGCGCCGGCCTCCAGCCGAGGGCATGGTCCGCCGGCGCCGGCGCCCGCCCAACGCCCCGGGGGATGTCCATGCGCGCGCCGCCCGGCTGGAGGCCCCCGGGCAGCACGCCAGGCATCGCCGGGTACCGGCGCCCGGCCGCCGCGAGCCCGGGAGGGAGAAAGCAAAAAAAACAACAAACACCCACCCGGGAGGGATGGCCCCCGGCCCCCCGCCATCCGGGAACGGGGCCGCCCCTGCGAAGTTCCCATTTTCGTGCCCCCGCACCGGGCGGAGGGTGTTCATTTGTCCCAACAGCCTCCCCCCGTCCCCGTTTCCGCTTACACACCCGCGTGCGCGCACGCACATAGCACACTAGCCGGCCCCTCCCCCTCCCGGCCCCTCTCCGCCTCCTTCCTTCCCTCTGGCGCACACAGGCCCTCCGCGCCCCCCCCCCCTCCCCCCCGGCCCACCACCGGCCCCGCTTGCCAGGCGCACCGTCTCCGCCTCCCTCCCTCTGGCGCACACAGGCCCTCCGCGCCCCGACCCGCCCCGACGCCGCCGGCCCCTCCTCCGCCCCCTGCTGGGGTTGCTGCTGCTGCTGCTTGTGGCCGTCGGCCACAATGCCGGCGCCCTGGCCGTGCAGGTCGGGGACCTGGTGGCCGGCCCGTTGTACCTGCTCCCGACGCCGGACGTGGTCAACTGCGCGGGGGTCTACAGCCGGGCCACCCCGAGGGAGGAAATGCAATGCATCCACCTGACCAAGACCAGCTGGAAGACCCACATCCAGATGGCGGCCCCCCGTGAGGCCGGCTGGGACCCGCGCCTGGGCCAGTACTTCAGCCGGTCCGGCTCGAAGGAGGGCAGCTTCCCCCCATCGGCCACCGAGCCCACCGGCCCGGTGCACGTCCTGTCCTCCACTCGGGCATCGCCGCTGTTCATCTGGCAAAGCACCAACAACCTGCTGATTGCCTCGGCCGGAATGGCGCACGCCTACGCCCCTGTCCCCGGGGCCACGCTGGACCTCCTGGCCGCCAGCGCCAGCACCCTCGGCGATGAGGCCCGGGCCCTGGTCCTGGTCAAGACCACCACCGCGACCGTGGGCCAGGTCATCCGGTGGAATGGCACCGGCTGGCTTGCCCTCGGCGGCAGCATCCCCAATGTCCGGGCTCCCGGCACCGCCGGGCTCCCGGGCAGCTTCTTCATGGCCAGCACCAATGCCGGCTGGGTGTGGATTCGCCCGGACAAGTCGCCGGAGGCGGTGGCCACCAGCCAGCCGGTGGTCGGCATGGCGGCCACGCGCTTCCTCTCCTCGGAGAGCCACAAGATGGACCTCATCGTCACCACCACCTCGCAGCTGCTGGTGTATGTGGGCCTCGACGCCACCGCCGGCACCTGGGAGTACCTGCTCGAATCGCCGGCCCTGCCGCAAGATCGCCAAAGCCTCCGGACGCACCTCGTTCCCCGGCTGCAGGACACCCCCCGGCCCAGTGGCTTCCTCTATTTGGTGCACAACAGCCACGCCCTCTGGCGAGTGGGCTACCTGCCGCCGGACCCGAATGCCGGCCCGACCACCGGGCAGCTGGTCTGGCAGCCTGTTGGCCGCCCCCCCGGGGTGACCTTCCCGCCGGGGACCTCGCACATGCTGTCCCTGCTGCCGCAGCCGGACCAGCCGGCGCAGTGGGTCATCGTCCATGACGGCCATGCCTACATGCTGGACCGGGAGTTCCGCTGCGACACCGATCCCTCCATCGAGTGCGACCCGGCCGCCGGGTCCTGGCGCTGCGCCCCCAATCGCCTGGCGACCCTGCACCAGTCGCTGCACGAGCTGTGCGGCATGTGCTCCGACGGCTTCTTCCCCTCCTACATCACGCTCAATCGCTGTGCGCACGGTGTCCCTCTTGGCCCCTCCGCCCTGCCGCGCATCCTGTCATGGCTATGATGCTAACATCCCTGGCGCCTGCTTTGCGGCTATTTGTCGCTTGATACTCGATACTTGGTACTCGGGACTCGATACTCGGCACTCGCAACTCGGGGCTCGATACTCGGGACTCGGGACTCGATACTCGGGACTCGATACTCGATACTCGGGACTCGGGACTCGATACTCGGGACTCGGGACTCGGGGCTTGGGGCTCGGGACTCGGGGCTCGATGCTCGACACCTGATACTCGATTCTTGGGACTTGACACTCGGCACTCGGCACTCGATTCTTGGGACTTGACACTCGACACTCGACACTCGGCACTTGGTACTCGGCCCTCGACACTCGGCACTTGGTACCCGGCACTCGGGACTCGATGCTCTACACTTGGTACTCGGCACCCGACACCCGGCACCCGACACCCGGCACCCGGCACCCGACACCCGGCACCCGGCACCCGGCACTCGCATCTCATCTCCCCCACCCCCCCCCACCCCCCCCCCCGACACACAGTCGAGTGCCGCCCCTGCCAGGTGGCCGGCTGCCGCACCTGCACCGACGATGGCTTCCAGTGCGCCGCCTGCCACGCGGGGCTGCTGCTCGTGCGAAATGCCCACGCCCAGGCGGACGCCTGCATGGCCACCTGCCCGGCCGACACCCAGCCCCAGGGCCAGGTGTGCATCCCCACATCCCTGGCCCGGCTGGATATCCACGCCAACGGCCTGGCCAATGGCCAGACCGCCAGCACCCGGGTCCTGTCCACCTGCACCTCGGTCGCCTACCTGAAGAATGGCCACCTCCACGTGTCCAATGCCTCGGTCCAGGCCCCGGGGCCGACGTCCATCCTGGCCGGCCTCGAGGGGGGGACCTATGGCATGCTCAAGCTGGACGCCCTGAGCCACGGGTCGGCGCCCGGGCTGTCGGTCACCGCGGTCACCGGCCTGCCGGCCGTCAATGAGATCAACCAAATCGCCGAGGCCGGCCCCCTGATGCAGGGCAAGACCGTGTACCTGTGCCTGGTGCTGGAGCTCCGGGAGCTGGAAACTCGCATCGTGGCCCTGAGCTGCACCCTGCCGGGCGACCGGCCCGCCGACGAGTGCCCGCTCCAAGTGGTGGGCTTCTTCAACCCCGGCTGGCTGAGCAAGCCCGTGCGCTTCCTCAAATTCAACCCGGCATCCATCGGCCTGAATGTCAGCGTCTTCGCCTTCCAGCCGGACAACACCCACCTGTATGCCATTTTGCAGCCCTTCCGCGGGGCCCAGACCGTGGTCGTGGCAACCCGCCGGAACCCGGTCACCGGCCACACCCGGGAGTGGCTCTACGGCGAGCGCCACACCCCGGGCAACCCGGCCACCATGCCGTGGGATGTGTTCATCCAGAATGCCTCCATCCCCACCCGGTTCCACCCGCCCCTGGGGGCATCCCTGCAGGCCCTGGCGCCGGGGGCCCCGGGCCAGGTGTCGCTGGCCGGGGCCCCGGACCCGGACGCCTGGCGCGTCCTGTCGCTGCCCCGCCGGCAGGACGGCTCGCGCGTCCTGCAGCACGACATCCTCCACACGGGCTTCCTGCAATCCGGGTCCCAGGTCCACTGGGCCCTTGTCCACCACTCGACCGGGCGCGAAAACCCGGACCGGCCCTGGGTCACCCTGGCGGCGGAGCACCTCCTGGCCCCGGTGGCCGGGGTCCTGCCCAGCACCCCGCTCGGGGCGTGGATCCTGCCGCTGACCGGCCACGGGAGCTACCCCCATGCGCTGGTGGTGGCCACCAAGTCCCTGGTCGGGGTGGCGCCCTTCCACTGTCCGGCCGGCGGGCTGGGGTCCTGCTTCTTCGGCCCGGCCCAAATGTCCCCCCTGCCGGGCGGCATGGCCTTCAGCGAAAATAACATCCTCTTCACGGCCCTCGTCGGCGAGTGGACCCTGGCCGATGGGCGCCCGGCCGCCGGGGCCTTCCTCCTGTCGGGGCACCTGCAGCAAAAGGGCACCTTCATGCTGGTCCGCGTGGCGCCGGACGGGTGTCCCGAGGGGACCTTCGGCCCGGAGTGCCTGCCCTGCCATGCGGAATGCCAAACATGCGCCGGCCCCGGGGCCCGGGACTGCCTGGTCCCCCGGTGCGCGGCCTTCCTGCCCACCGATCCCGGCACATGCCTGGACCGGTGCCCGGCCGGCCTGTACCCGGACCCGACCGGCGCCTGTGCCTGCCACGCCGACTGCGCCGCCTGCCACCTGCCGGCCCACGCGGACCGGTACATTTGCACCGCCTGCCCGCCGGGCTTCGGGCCCCTCGACCCCCTGCAGCCGGCCGACCACTGCCAGCCCTGCCACTCCTCCTGCGCCGGCTGCCGGCTGGCCGCCAGCCCGGGCCACTGCCTTTCCTGCCCCGGGGCCGGGCTCCTCCAGCCGGATGGCACCTGCGGCTTGACCTGCCCCAGTGGCACCTGGCCCGATGGCCTGACCGGGACCTGTGAGCCGTGCCCGGCCAAGTGCACCGAGTGCACCGGGCCGGCGGCCTGCACCGGCTGCCGGTCGCCGGCCCTGTCGCGCCCGGCCTCCGGCTGGTGTGCATCCTGCACCGGCGGCTGTGGCCAGTGCGCCGGCGGCATGGACGCCTGCCTCGAGTGCGACGTCGGCTTCCGCTGGAAGGACGGCCTGCCGCCGGCCGGCGACCAGCTCACCGGCCAGTGCGTCGCCTGCCCGGCCAACTGTCTCGACTGCCAGCCCGACGGCCGGTGCACCTCCTGCCGGGGGCAGCTCCTCCTGTCGCCGGATGCCGGGACCTGCGGCACCGATTGCCCGGCCGACATGGCCGTCAATGACACCCATCGCGCATGCGCGCCCTGCCACGACACCTGCGCATCCTGCCAGACCCCGGGCAATGCCCACACCTGCCTCGCCTGCCCGCGGGACCGGTTCATGCACCGGGAGGCGGCCATCTGCCTGGACGCCTGTCCCGAGGGGCAGTACGGCGATGTGGCCCTGCAGGGCTGTGCCCTGTGCCATGATGCCTGCCGCACGTGCCACGGCCCGGCCAATGGCCACTGCCTGGCCTGCGCCCCGGGGCTCCACCTGCAGCCGGACTCGGGCGCCTGCCTGGCCACCTGCCCGGAGGGCTTCTTCCCGGACAGCGGCCAGTGCCAGCCGTGCGACCCGCGGTGCAAGGCCTGCACCGGGGTCTCCCAGTGCCAGGTGTGCCACGATGGCCACTTCGACCCGGGCACCGGCCTCTGCGCCGGCTGCCACGGCACCTGCGCCACCTGTTCCGACGCCGTCAGCTGCCTTGCCTGCCAGCCGGGGCTGGTCTTCCTGTCGGCCGACGCCGGGGTCCCGTCGCTGTGTGGCGCCTCCTGCCCGGCCGGCCAGTATGTCGGCCAGACGCGCTGCGCCGCCTGCAGCACCGCCTGCGCCCTGTGCCACGGGGCCGCGGACCGGTGCCAGGTGTGTGCCCCGGCGCACCGGTGGCAGGAGGGGCCTCCGGCCGGCGGCCCGGAGGGGACGGCCGGCTGCGTGGCCTGCCCGGCCGGCTGCGCCTCCTGCACGGCGGACCTCTGCCTGACCTGCCTGCCGGGCCGGTATCTCACCCGGGCCGGGGCCTGTCCGGAGGTGTGCCCGGCCGGGACGTGGCCCGACCCGGGGACCGACTCGTGCCAGCCCTGCGCCGCCAGCTGTGCCAGCTGCACCGGCCCGGCGGATGACGCCTGCACCGCCTGCCTGCCGGGGCTGGAGCATGCGCCCCAGTCGCCGGGCACGCCGGCCGCCACCGGGCCCTGCCGGTCCCCCTGCCCGGATGGGCACTTCCGCCACGCATCGTCCGGCGCATGCGTCGCCTGCAACCCGGCATGCGCCGCGTGCACCGGGCCCACGGACACGGATTGCTGGCGCTGCGAGGGGACCTTCCTGCAGGATGGCGCATGCGTGCTGGAGTGCGCCACCGGCTATCTGGCCGTCGAGCAGCGCTGCCTGCCCTGTGCCATCTCCTGCGGCGCGTGCTCCGGGCTCCGGGCCGGCGATTGCACGGACTTCTGCCGGGCCGGGCTGCTGCCCCTGCCGGCCGATGTGTCGCCCATGCGCTGCGTCGCCAGCTGCTCGGCCGGCTTCAACACCTCGCCGGCCGGCTGCACCGCCTGCCCGGCGGGGTGCCTCTCCTGCCCGGACAGCGCGGCCCACTGCACCAAGTGCGCCCGCGGGTACTTCCTCCACGGCCATGGCTGTGAGGCCTCCTGCCCGGCCGGCAGCTGGGCCGATGGCGACCGGTGCCAGCCCTGCCACGACTCGTGCGCCGGCTGCCAGGGCCCGGGCCCGGGGCACTGCACCGCCTGCCGGGGCCCGGCCGCGCCCATCCTCTGGGCCGGGGCCTGCCATGCCGGCTGCCCGGCCGGCACCTTCCTCGACGACGACGCCCAGGGCACCTGCCTGCCCTGCCATGTGTCCTGCGCCACATGCTCCGGCCCGGGGCCCGACCAGTGCACCGCCTGCCCGGCCTCACGGGCCCTGGGCCTGGAGGGGCTCTGCCTGGACGCCTGCCCGCCGGGGACCTTTGCCGAGGCCACGGCCACCGGTGGCCAAGTGTGCCGGCCATGCGCCGGGCCCTGTGTCCTGTGCGCCGGCCCGGGCGAGTCCCAATGCACCGCCTGCCCGGAGCCCCTGCTGCTGGAGGCCGGCCGCTGTGTGGACTCCTGCGCCCGGGGCCATGCCGCCTGCCAGTCGCGGGGCCAGTGCCAGGCCTGCCCGGCCGGCTGCGCATCGTGCGACATCGAGCTGGACCAGGTGTCCGGCTGCGCGGTCTACTGCACCGCCTGCCGGGCCGGGCACTTCCTGTCCCCGACCACCGGGCGCTGTGAGGCGCACTGCCCGGCCGGGGAGTTTGTCCGCTCGGCCGACGACCCGGTGTGCCATGGCTGCGACGCCGGGTGCCTCTCCTGCCACGGCCAGGCCGACTGGTGCACCGGCTGCCCCGATGGCCAGGCCGCATGGCTGAGCGTCGACACCGGCACCTGCCTCAGCGCCTGCCCGGCCGAGGCCCATGCCCAGGTGCCGGCCGAGCGCCTGTGCCTTGCCTGCCCGGCCGGGTGCGAGCGGTGCGCCGCGCCGCCGGCCACGCCGGTGTGCCACCTCGCCGCCGACGGCCGGCTCACCTGTGCCCCGGTGGCCACGTGCGACCGGTGCGCGGCCGGGCTCCTGCGCCTGCTCGGCAGCACCTGCGTCGAGCACTGCCCGGCCGGGTTCTATGACGATTGGCCGGCCTCGCCGCCCGCCTGCGCCCCGTGCCACCCAAAGTGCACGGGCGCCTGCTCCGGGCCCGAGCGCTCCGACTGCGAGGCCCCGGCCCGCTCGCCCGCCAAGCGGCGCCTAGGTGCGACACACGCGGCACACGCCCCGCCTCCGCTGCCTTCCTGCTGTCCTGACGCCCGCTCGCCCTTCGGGGGCTGCCCTTGACGCGTGCGCGTGCGCGCGCACACGTACACACGCACACGCACGCACACATGCACACATGCACACATGCACACATGCACACACACACACACACACGCACACACACACACACACACACGTGCACACACACACACGCACACGCACAC